GGCGGGGTCACTGACTTTGGTTACGTGATTACGGTGTGTGTGTGTGTGTATTATACATAGATATAGAATATTATATATAACATATATAATATTCTTTTTTACTCTTTTCCCTGTGACTTTAGTCACATGGTGTTTTTTTACTCCTCCTTGTTACGTAACTTTAGTCACGTGTTGTTTTTATATTCTCCCGTTTTTCTTTTATTTTTCGAGTTTGATTTTCATGCGTTATTTCTGACATCTTTCATATGTACATCGTGTGTATTATATTGTTTGTAAGACGTATATACCAGCTGTCATTGCGGTGACAGGTTAAGGCACTTCACTGACACTACACGTTAATAAAATAAAAGCAATAATAGCGTGCGCGCAGCGCGCCTGTGTTGTGCTAATACAAGAAAAAAACAATCAAATCCCGTTAAATACGGTCGTGTTCTTAGCGATGTTCGCGAGAGGATAACGCAATTTGAAAATTAAAACCGCGCGGCATTGTCGCGCGACAATAACGGGAGGAGGTTTCTTCCCGTTTCCGCGCATTTGTATTTATACGCGCAAAAGATATATCGCGTACTTATTACGGAGAACGGACCGAAGACACGCGCTAACAAATTGAATACTCAAAGCGCATTAATAAAGCAGGCAGGTTATTCCAATTGGAACGCGTCGTGCGGATAATTCTTTTTTTGCGCGAAGAATTTTTTATCTCTCGCGCGATATGCGAGAGGGTAAAAGAAGAAAAAAACAAGGTAGGGAAGGAGAATTACCATACATCCAGCGCGCGATTCTAAAATTAAAACTAACTTTTTCTGCAACGACGCGAGGGAGAAATAATAAACTTTACTTAGTACTTTGAAGAGTTGCCTCTTCATTCACACTTATTCGTATTTGCTACATTTATGATTTCCGCTAAAAAGTTTCCGCATAAAGGATGAATAATGCATCTCGTATTTTCTATGGTTGCGTTGCGATATATAGTACATATAGAAATGACATATGACACATCTCAGTTTTCGAAACGCATCGCTTCGCTAAAGAAAAACGAAACGTTGAAGACACACAAAAAACGAAGTAAAGGCGCGCAAAAACAACCAAAATTACGTACATTGCAAACGAAGTTTCTCGGCGAGAGAGAGAGAGAGAGAGAGAGAGAGAGAGAGAGACGTGTGGCATATTTAAAAATAAGGAGAAAGCTACGCAATAAAAAAGCGCGCTTAACGGCCCATTACGAAAGTCGTAAAAAAGATTAAAGTTAAAGCGCCATTATGCAAAATTGCATTGCTCTCTGGCTTTCCACCCTGCGTCACACGCGTGTATCTGTGCGCGCGGCGTCGTACGTGTGTACGCTAAACACACACCCGCAACTAACACACACAACTCTTGCGAATTCGTGTATGTGCCGCGTATCGCGAATAATATGCGGCGAAAAGTATACACGGGGTAATTTAAATTAGAAAGATATTTCGCTGACTAGAACGCGGCTGCGCCTACGACGTCGTTTATTTTTCGTAACTTATGCGCGCGAGATAGGGGTAGGTAGGTAGGTACTCGCGCTTCGAGAGCGATGAATATCGCGGCGGAAACACACACAAGGTGGTCCGGAGCAAGACGCGGCTAGTTTTAACGTATGACGTTGGAAAAAATTGAACGATCATTGCTGCAAAATTGAACGATCATTTGCTGCAAAATTTTTCGCAGAATGTTTTTCCCTTCTTTTCTCTGTTCGATTGATCGAGAGAAATTCAGGAAAACACGATCCGAACAAAATCGAACGAGTTTCTTACGTAACGTCGTTTTAGACAGAAAAATAATCGTATCGCGATCATGTAGTTTAAGTTTTGCGCGATGCAAATTGCGCGTCATTTCGACCACTTTGTTCCGCTGTCGGAACGCACGAACGAGGAAGGTTGTTTACGACCGGTGCGGACGCGCAATTGAGTGCGCTTAATAAATAAACACCACAACCTGCGCTCGAATACGCACATTCGCGGAATGTTCACTTCGGGAGTGAACCGTAAAAAATGTATTCATTTTTCAAAGGGAGCGTGCGCCGGTTCAACTCTCTCTCTCTCTCTCTCTCTCTTCGTAAAAAAAAAAAAAAAACTTAAACAACATTCCGCGTAAGTGCGCGTGCAAAAAGCATCGCGGCAGTCGACGCTACTCGCTTGATCGAATCTTAATAATTGAAACAACAACAACAAAATAAAAGACAAGAAAAAACGATTGCATCTCTCGCACAAAGTTGCGGAAGCTGTGAACTGCCACTTATTCGAGGTGAACAAAAGAATACAAGTTTTTTTTTTCTTTTTTAACAAAATTGCTTGCTCCTCGCGAAAGTTCCTGCGGAAAGTACTGTTTAATGAAGACGTGCCGGAGGCGTATCTCGTTTCGATTGCAAAAAGAAGAGAGAGAGAAAAAAAAGATATCGAAGGAAGGAACTTGAAACAAGGGACGCGCGCGCGGATCTGAATCCGCTCTCTCGCAACCTTCCCTCAAGAAACGAATCTTGATTAATGGCGCAAGTTTCCACTGTCCCGCGCCGGCCACGCTCGGAATGCATAATGGGGGAATACATTAAAATTCAACCTCGCGGGCGAAGAGAAGAAGAGAGAACCGCCACTCTCTCTCTTCCTTTCTCTTCTTCTCTCTCTGTCTCGCAACAGTGTTCATTCTAAATGTGGAAAAATGACGTTGTACATCACGCAATTAGCTTACAATGTCTATGATCGATACCGGCAATTAGATCGAAGAGGTGCGTCGACTTGTGCTTCTCGGAGAAGAAACCGAAGAAAGATCGTTTTACGACGAATCGTAAAACGTTGCGTGAGCGCGCAACGTCAGTCACGCTCTCTCTCACGTTGATGACCGATTCGTCGAACGACATTTTGTTCGCCGCGACGAGCTTTCTTCAACTCGTTGACGTCGTTTTCGTCACGCGTCGCACAATCTGCAATCTTAATCTCGAAACGGGAGAGATCCCTAAATTGCTCGCACTTCTCACATCCCGTCCGCTCGAAGCAAATGCCTCGTATATAATAACAAAATGAGACGATTTCGAGTTAGCAGAACTATATAGTGCAATATTTATGAGATAAATAATGAATATTTATCAAGGTGATGTTAGAGTCAAACATCTGCTGTTCAGTTTAGAAGATCTCATTCATACACTTACGGCGATCCTTCGATGGTAACAGTGGCCTGAGAAATTATGGTAATTTAACGACGGGAATTTTAATGTGTGTTGTCGGTTTATTCATTTCGAAACACATTCCTTTCGACAGGCTTTGTTCTTCAAAAATGATAAAATTCTCCTTTCTCACGTATATAAACGACGCGCCAACTTCGCTCAAAGATAGGAAGTTTTTTATTTTTTTTTTTTTTGTAAACACGCAGACACGCACGGCAATTAATCTTCGTGCTTCAACTTTTTTCCGCGTTTCGTCGAGTGACTAAATTATGTAAAACTTAACGCGCGGGGGGATTTTTCTCACCAACTTTGTCTTTCCCCCGCAAAAAATAAATTGCTGTCTAAAAGTGTTATGACTTCAGAGCGCGAATATACATGTTTTTTGTCGCGCGTAAATAACTCGCCACAGATGGCGCGCGACGGAAAGGATAAAATTTAATAATATTATAATTTCAGACGCGCGAGACGCGTCGTACATATTTCCCGTTTGCAGGTTGAGTTTTTGTTTTCAGCCTCTCGCGCGCGATTGCGCGAGACCGTACATATACATATATATATATATATGTATATACTCGTACAATACCCGTGTATTAGCACGTTTAATATCGCTTGCAATTTCTAGTTGAAACACGAGCCACGCGGCAATTTCAGTGGAAATTGCCACGTTTTAATGGCTCCCAGCTGATCCTTTAAACACCTTCATACCGTATAGCGTTAAGTAGCTAAATAATTAACTTCTATATGGAACTTGCGCGCCGCAATAAAATTTATCGCGGAGTAATTGAAAAATAATATTCATTATATTCCACATCGCGCGCCATTGTTGTCAGCACGTAGTACTGTTTACGTGCGTTCAACCAACTCGCGCTGTTAAACACGCGCGAGTTCGCCATTTCGGCTAATTAATATGTGTATTAAATTCGTCGATTCGACGCGTTCTTGAGCGCGAGTCAATTGTAACTTTCCGTCCCGGTTTTGCGTTCGCGATTAGATTTTTTAGAACCAAGCAAATATATTCGCGAACTAAAGAAATAAAAGTCACCAACTTGATGTGTTGTCGCGCGTGTCAAGATTTCGCGTCGAGCACCATTTCAAGGTAAATCAGTTAATAATCTGGCACACTCACAAATCTGCGCGTTCATAAATTTCGTTTGTTTTTGCACAAGAATAACATACATGTGCTCTATGTAATCTCGCCTTGACCCCGATTTCATTGTCTCGAGGCGATCTCTAGAGTCGCTGCGCCTCTGAGTTCGCTCACTTAAACTCGCGCGCTTATTCAAATTGACTTTTCGCAACGCGTTATTCGCGTGTTATACAAATCGAGCTGAAAGCTCGAAAACCTGTTTATTCGGTAGAAAAATTGTGCAAATGTGTATTTTTGATTTTGCGCATTTTTATCTTTCGACATGTCAGTTCGCTGATCAGTAACGAGAATTATATTTACACAACGTGACACATTCCGAGCGGGATTTGAAATCAGATTAAGAGGTGACCGTGTTCTCTATTTTCGACGTTAATACACGTCACTTTTTCGATTTTTCTTACAGAAGAAACGTAAAGAGATTCAATTTCGCGTTCGGCCAAAAATTACCGGCCGACTTCGATCGGTCTGAATTTAATTCCTCTTCGTCATTAACTTTTTTTCTCTTTGTTCTTCGGACCCCTCCCGGTTACGTTATCAACCGAATCGAAATCCATTACATCTTATCGAAAGGGTCCGCACGAAAATTCGCGAAGGCCAAAACGGAAGGGTCCGCGCGCGATAATATCCTTTTAACGCACACGCTATGGACTTTTATCACACGAACGGACTTACCTTGTAACTGCCGACCGCGTGCGCGCCATCGTAGATGTAGAGATGATCGTTGCAGTCTAACTGCAACTGATCGAATCGGAGCATGAACCGCTGGAGGATGCTGTGAGTCTGGAAAGTGATGGTGCAATCGAGCTCCCTCTCATTTTGCGAAGTAAGAACGGCGCCGTCTATCTTCCTGTAGAGATCCCGCAGGTAGTATTTCTTGCAGATGTCGCTCATCTGGTCTGTAAAGAAAACGGCAAACAGACGGGACGGGAGTTAATCGGTCTCTGACTTTCTTGCGCGGGAATGGATATAAATCACATACTGTAAACGCGCGGTTTTTGTTTGGTTGCGACTGAGTGTAAAAGTATGTAATGTTATAATGGACGTTTCACAAAGTTCTATTGAGAAAAGAAATTCGTGTTTTTCTCAAAATTTCCCATGTCACATTTTAATGTACGTTCGAAGATAAACAATTATCAGAAAATTATTATTCTCGGAATTACTGGAATATATAATTAGCGCACAGTTTGATATTTTCGGAGAAATTACAGAAGCGCAATTAAGATTTCGCTGCGTATAAAATGTGTTTTGCAATTTTCACGAGTTTTTCCCGAGATGTGCGGTGAAATGTCCATTTCGCGCGCGCGCGCGCAAAAATCGCTCCCGTACGGGGATGAAAATTCCACGTTTTTTTTTTTCGGAATCGGCGCTGAAAATTTTATATGACACGACGAGCGCGTCTTGCGACGAATATAACGCCGCGATGTTAATGCGCGATTGCAACCGGGCGAATTTGCATTTAAAACGAATGATAACGAATGCACGACAGTCGGCAGTCAACGCAGTCGGGAAATAAGTTACAGACGCACGCCGCACTTCGTGCGCGCCGCAGCTCTGGAGCAATATTGCAATCGCGCGCGCGCTCTCTCTCTCTCTCTCTCTTTCCCTCTATATATATATATGTGTACAGAGTTTCGTCGACATTGCGCCATAACATATATTTCGGGACAGGCAACAGAGGTTGCAGTTCTGGAAACTTCGCGCTCTCTCTGCTTCTGCGGTCTTCGTCTCTCAAGTCTTCCTTTTCCCTCCCTCCTCCGCCTTCCGGTTCTCCCGCCATTACCATCCCTTTGCAGTTCCGGCAGTAACATCAAAATTACTTGCTCCCGGAGACCGTGACGTTTACCTTGCACCGGCTAAAGTGCAACCTGCAAACGATCGTTGCGACGTTGCCCCTTCCGCGCGCGCGTTTTCGGTTATGTCGGGAAGTGTGGGTGTAGCACGTGGGTAGGGGAGGGGTACCTAAAATAAACAACCGCGGGAAACCCCGCGTGTGCTGCGGCGAGAGAGAGCGATTGCGCTCTGCGATCAATTACATACAATAATTGCGTTAGTCCGCGCGCGCGCGCGTGCCCCAAGATTTGCGAGAGTGCGAAATGGACGAGAGAGGCAATGAACGCGGAGGCGCGAATGCGTTATTAACGCGATCATTCGGTCATTACGTCGCGTGCGCGCGTCATCGATTCGCTCGAAGCGCAACAAAGCTTTATATTCGGAAAGATCGTCTCTCTCTCTCTCTCTCTCTCTCTCTCTCTCTCCGGAACGAAACGTCTGTAGTTGATCCAAGTGGAATTCTCGGATCTTTTACGAAGTGTGTTACGACGCCTCGTCCTCGTATCCTCGGCATCGTAACGCGCTAATAAATGTTTTCTATCAAAACCCAGAATTTGTGCAACACACGCACACGTATGTGCATATAGCGAAGTCGTTAACTTTTTCCACTGCTATCGGCATGAAATTTTACGAGTCTTCCTAGCGCCTCGGCGCCGCCGCCCGCTCGTCGAACACGTACGGTGCGTTGCACATCTGGATGTAGCGGGTGAACAGGAAAAACGTGACTCGCCGTTAAGTAATGTATTACGGCACGCGCAGGTGGCATTCCGGATCGACGATATAGAGACTGTCGTCCTCCCCGATCGTAGATAAATCGAGGGTCGATGTGTTCTATTTCTTCCTTACCGATGAACGTCGTTATTCTTCTTTTTCTTTCTTTTTTTTTTTTTTTTTTTGACACAATACGATAAATCAAAGATAACATCGGGCATGTGTAAAAGTTACGGTCTCTTTTAGAATTTCTTTGTGTCGAGTAGTTCAAACTCTGATGTATTTGTCAAATCTTCGTGTGCTCTTCGTTGTCTTACTTAATTTCCATTCGCTTTGTATATCGCGATAATTTCACTCCCGTTCGGATCGTTCGTGCGTCTTTACGCGAAAATGCTCGCGCAATATTCACTGAGCCGCAAAGCGATCACGTTCGAATGGGTATTCAGATGGACATCGATCAAGAACGGCCCGCCCTTTCCGCACTTAATCATTTACACTCTCATTCAAGAACCGACTCGTCGATTTGCGCAACCGTTTAAATGCAGTCCGACTAACCGGTCGGTGTGTTCAATGTTCGTACAGAGCTTAGTCGAATTATTCAATCGATTGCCAGTCGATTGATACGCGCATCGTTGGAATAATGAGTTCATAGACTCAATCGCAATGTAACCTCGTGATTAACCTCGGTCTATTGCGCGCGCCCGATAAGAGATAAGAGGACACACACGTCCGACGCTGTTCGGTTTGTGTGAATCGGCAGATATAAGAGAAAATTATACACGACCTTCGTACAATTAAGTCTCGCGATAATTTAAATACGATATTTTGTTTTTTTTTTTTTTTATAGCCGGCGAAAGAGCTCCTATACACACAGAGGAGCGTATATCGATATAGATTAATCTGTTACGCCGAATGAACCGAACTGCTTTACGGCGAATCCGAATCTCCGGGGATCGTCGAATCGAGATTGCCTCGGTGGATTGCCGAGGAGATTTTATTTCGTCCTTACTTTTTAGGTGTGCATTTATTGATCGTGTGTTGCCGGACTCCCGCGAAGTAATAGTCCGTCCTCGCGCGCGGTTTCACATTTTTATTCTTTATCGAGAAAAATCTCGCGGCGGCGTGACGCTTGATCGTTAACTTCTCGCACTTTTGTATTTTTATTGATAAAATGTCGTTACACAAGTTGAAAGTCGCCGTTAATTGCATATAATTCAATATTTTATTCTGACGCTTCTCTCTCTCTCTGAAACAATCAAATTCCGATTGTTCGCAGCAAGTAATGTATAATCCGATAAAACTTGAAATCGAAGGGAAAAATAGATGAAAGAAACATCCGGACTTCGCGGGAAACATTTTGCTTTGTTGCGAAAATTTATATAACACCGGACGTCGTTGAAAAACTGAACTTTGACTACGTAACGCGGTGAACAAAAAAAAAAAAAAAAATAGATATGTAATGGACAATCGGAAGAAGAGCGCGCGAACAAGATATCAATCCGCTCGTTTCGGTCGGAGCTTTTCGTTCTGCTGCGATTCTTGCGATCATCGAGGTTTTTTCTTTCGTCGATTCGTTTCCGGTTGGCCGAGCCGCGGGAACGAGAAGAACGAAAATAAAAAGCCCCCGTAACGAGACGGCCACGGCTACGCCGTGGAAGAAGACGATGACGCCGCGTTGGTGCTCCGAACAAGAAACTCGATTGAAAAGTTTCCCGCTCGTCTCGTCTCGCGGCGAGGGATAGTTTTCCGCATGGCGCGACCTCGCAGCTGCCGATGGACCATGTTCGCATCCGGGGCGAGAACATTTTCTATCGGGCGGGAAGAGAGGGAAGGAGGGCGAACGAGTTTCTCACGAGAAGATTTCCGTGAAGATAAGGGCGGCCGCCGCTATTTCCACCGGCGGTCACGACGCCGGCGTAAATAACGTTACCCGGGGGCGATGACCATCGGAATGCGGCCTTGCGCATATTCGTCGGAACGACGAAGCGATCTGACTTCCTTCCGCCTGTTTTACTCGGATGTCTGACATTCGCGAGGAATAAACCACTGCCGGAATGCATTTCGTTCTCGCCGCGAAGTCGAGGATACAGGACGGTTCAAAACTCGACATTTTCTCCTGCGATTGTTTTGCGAGCAATCGCGAAATTTTATATCGCGACAAAAATTTGTCGTAAAACAGATGATAATAAGAAACGCGAGGATATATTAATATTTCGTTGTTTATTTAGTCTCCGTTCAATTTTGCGGACAGTTTCTAGACTGTTTACTGCGACAAAAAAGAGCGCGCGAGAGAGTATCAGTCTCTATAATAAATATAATTACACTTTCTGTTCGCTAAGAATGGGCAGGGAGGAGTTGGAGAAGAGAGAAATAAGAAGTGCATACACAGAAATTTAATCTTGTCTCGAAATTGACAAAGAAAAGAGAGATTCCAGTTGGTCCAGTTACACTCTTGAAACTTAATTCGTCGAGATCGTTTAATCTTCACAACTGAATATCTTTGCAATTAAATCTCCGTTCAAATATTTGCTGAGAAAAGGTCGAAATTCGCGGAAGAATTTATCGTTGAGAAGTAACCGACGCGCTCCGTCGCGAATTGGAATCGGATTTTCATATAGAAATAAATTTTGAAAATATCGCGAGTATTAAAGTTCCGACAAAATTAGCTCTGCTAGCGTGTGTGAAAGATCAATCAACAAGTAGCGGAGAATTCCACGGCGGTAATAATTTAATGTTTTTTTTTCGTATATTAAACACTATTATATTCGCGTTCGTTTTGCGGAAAAGTTGCGCAGTAGTCGGTGTATAAAAAAAAAACTTTAAAATACAGTGTTCCCTTTTTTAATAATCCCCTTCGTTCGTAACTGAATTTGTCCGAAGCTAGTATACACTCGTTAAATTCGTCGCGCACGCGAAATTATTGTCGCGTGGGCTGTTTTATGCGCGTTTCGCATGGATTGCGAAATTTTTTTCTTTTTTTCTATTTTTTTTTTTTCCCCAAAACCTCTTCGCGCCGTGCCGCCGATGCGCGCCAATAAACGCCGATAAACCTCCATCGTTGCCGCGATCGTCGACCGGTTGTTTGGAAACGCGCGCGTCCATTTACGTCGCGCATCGATCTGCGGTTTTCGATCCGTCCGTCCGGTGGATCGCTCGGTGTAATGTCACTGCGAAGTTTCGAATTTCACGTGAAGTCGCGTGCGAAACGAGCCAGGCTTTGCGGACGAGGAGAACGAGCAACCGCGGGTGAGACAGGGAAGCGAAACGAGAGGGTACGAGGGTGAAAAAGAGAGAGAAAGCAAGGAAAAGAGGAAGAGAGAGAGGCAGAGGAACAGACGGGGAGACAGAGAGCAAG